GTAGGTCCGACAAATGAAATTTTTCCGACGTAGGACTTATGAGGCGTCGGACTTATGATACGGCCCCGTTTATTCTACGTAACATTTTCAAATACACAACCTCGTGCGCGCTGCATTTCCATTTATTTAGGCCAAGTATAAAAACTCCAGATTTTCAGCACAATTTTACTTTGAATACAACTTCAAAATATGGTAGAAAGAGCAATGAATGGCTCATTTCGAAACAAAGTATTAGTAAATGAGAAGAAAAAAATGGAATAATCTATCCGCCATATTCATTTTTTTTTTACCTTGGCCTTATATCGTGTGCACATGCAGAACTAGCCTTGATAATGGGAATTCCGTTGATTGGCTGGTCGCTTACAATTTCTTTTTTAATGACTGAAATAATTGGGAAGTGTAAGATATAACATTTTGAGATATGTTCAGTTTATTCAACAGAACGGAATGAATGGTGAGGAACGAGCCATACAAACACTGTCTGTTAAATAGTTTTGGGTTTCATATATATCTGCGCAATAAAACTTGAAACGATTTAACTTATTTATACAATCCCCCCCCCCCCAAAAAAAATCCACTGAAAAATATCATGAGATCATTTGTCATTTTTTTTTCATTCTTTTGCAGCTTTGTGACTTGTTAACGCTTGAAGATAACGGCATTGAGAAAGACGAGAATATTTCGCTCCGTCTATCTTTCGATGGTTTACATGGGGGCGGACCAAAAGGTAGAGTCCGACAGAAGAATTTGTCCTGAACTAAAATAATATGTCTACGACAATGCCACCTGACGATCTCCGGTGATCTTCTGTAAGATTAAATTCCTCAAGGACAAGAAGTGTACAACAGTACCAAAAACTGGGACTGACGTTGTCTTTATAAACTGCACAGCGCATTTTTTTTTATATCTGTGGACTCTCAAGGAGACCCGAATCAGATTGACCCGAATCCGCACTCTGTTTGGCCAGACAAAATGGCAAAGTTGAAACGAGTCACCGAGTCGAGTCGAGTCATTTTAAAGAAGTGACTCGACTCGAGTCGAGATTTTAGGTCAAGAAGGTCGAGTCGAGTTAAGTCACAGTGTGTAGTCGAGTTCAGTCTGATCGAGTTAAATGTTAAGCTCGAGTCAATTCGATTCACGATTCTTTGAACACTAACATAACAAATAAAGACGAGAGAAAGTCGTTTGTATCACCATAGTTCAGAAAATTCGATCTTATACAGTGTGTCTCAAAAAATACACACAAAATATTACGGAATGCTAGACGTAGGATGTGTAACCAACATAGATAATTTAGGTATGGTTTGAAAGATACACCTTTTCACTTTAAAATGAGACATCAAACGACAAAATTTGATATTTTTTGGATCGATTTATGAGCAATTTTCCAAGAGAGGTCAAATAGACCACGGGACCAGGTTATTCATTTTAGGCATTGGGACAAAGGTAGCCTAATGGCCTCCGTGTGGATAATTGCCTGGCCTAAAAATACATTTAGTGAGTAAACACAATTCTAAACACACACATACTGGAATTTGTATCCTTGTGGTGCCATTCCTTTGTTCTCGTGTACTAAGAGTACACGAGTTTGAAAGTGTAGTTTCAAAATGCTCCTATTTTAACCAGAATTAATTTCCTGGGCTGAAATTCGGACTAAATATCTCTTACATGAAATACTTCAATTTGCGACGGATCCATTACAGATATGTTTTACTTTTATTTTTGGGACTCGAGTTCTTTTAACCTTCGAGTCGAGTCGAGTCCAGTCGAGTCTTCTGATGAGGGACTCAAGCCGAGTCGAATCATTTGCTCGCAGTGACTCGAGTCGAGTCCAGTCACCAACAACTGTGACTCGATGAGCCGCACTCGAGTCGAGTAATTGACTCCAGTCATTACAGCTCTTCGAAATGGACACTCTGTCTGGTCGGAATTACACTTCTCTGATCGACTCATTTTGTGGAGTCAATTTGACCAGCGAACCTTGGCAACAGTGTAATGTTGACTGTCAGTTTTGAACCTAAAAGGTGTCAGGCCAAAAAGAGCCGGTATTTAAATCTGACCCGGGATGTTTTAGAGTGTACAGTCGAGATAGCGTCATTTTCTGTTCTCTGTCCAATCGATGGCTTTCTTACTTACTTTTTTTAAAGGATAGTTAGACATTTTTGATCACTTCTTTTGCAGAGATGCCACAATTTGCTAAGTTGCTCTCGGACATCGCCCCGAAAATTGAGTCAACTTGGAAGAAACTGGCCAAAAACCTTGGATTTGAAGAAGCAGACATTGTTAATATCCAAGCTACGAATGACTTCAAGGAACAGAGCTTGGTGATGCTGTTTGCTTGGTGGGGGAAGCAGAGGAACAGCAGAGAATCATCTCAGAGGTTGAGAGAAGCATTGGAAGCCTCGGGTTTGGCTGATTTGGCGTTGGGAGTACCAGGTGAACTTTATAAGCCAATTTCAAGATTGTTTCGTGCTGCAGTCGACAAGGACCATGCATGCATGTTTCAATTAAAATACTGACAATTAACAGTGTTGTAGTCGAGTCTATTGCATGTCCAATTACAAGGTGTGTCATGAGTAAAATAGTAAAAAGGGTATGCCTTTCTCACAATGCAAATGAATAGCTTGTAAATTGGTTTAGATTGACCTAAGTTTTACAAGTCCTTATTGGTCCCTGAATACGTCTGGTTATTTATTGTTCAGTAATTATTGCAATACCCATTCATTGCTTCTAGCTTACGAACTATATTATATTCTTCTCCAGCCTCTTCGTCAAATCTTATATTTCGACTAAACTAGACACCCCTAAAATAATAACTTCAGTATTGATGCTACTCTCCTCAGATTCAATTGACATTGAACAAGAAGATCAAGAGGAGCAAGAGAGACACGAGACAGTAGGACATGGCCCGTTTGTAGCTCAGCCAAAGGCTCAAGTTACTGGGGCAACAGCACGTGAACCTCTTTACGACCCACACCCAGAGGCACTAGGTGCGCAGCAAGAGATGATGACTTTTCCTGGGCAACAGAGTGGGGATCAGAGTCACAGTTCTGCCTTAGTACCCCAGGGCCATCCGGACACATCTTCTGCATTACCCATTTCCCAAAGACACGGACAAATACAATCAGGTCCAGTTAATATCAACGTTGATGGGAGCAATAATCCTACCTTTCTTGCACCTGTCGTCAATCCTACTATCAATTTCGTTCAGAATGTATTTCCAGGGATCGATCAAGGTAAATACTAAAATTAGAGAATAATTATGCACTTTTATACAGGGAATAAGTATTTTTATAAAGGAAATTGACAAGAGCAAAAAACAATGTCTTTGACAACAAATGTGGACTTGTGAAGTAGAATGTGATTCATTCATGTAGGCCTGTCATGTCTTTGAAAAACAAATGTCAAATTCCAATTGAAGTTACCAAAAAAGATTTGCGTTCTTTCCGACGAAAACCGGATGAGCCAGCCATTAAAGGTAACAATATTATGTATGGGAAGCTTGATTTTCAATTAGACTAAATAGAGAGTGAGTCAACTCTCCCCCCCCCCGAAATATTGATGGCGGTTTCTGTAGGTTTTCCTTTGCAAGTTCTCGTTTATTCATGGAGGTGGGGAAACATCTATGCTTCATTGTACTCAATGGCTATTCATCAGTTCGAAGAACGGTAACATTTAATGATCAGCGGTAGACAGCCGAGTATTGTGATCTTTTAATTGAATAGAGAATGGGAATATAGTGTACAAATTACGTGAAATTGTCACGGTTAAAAGTCAATAAGATGTACTCTATCCCTATGGAGCGAGCCAAATATTAAAAAAAAATATTTTACAAATTAGTCACTTTCTTTTTGACTCACCCTGTACAAGTATATTGATTCTCTTGTTTATTCGGATCCTTCTGATGTTTTCTGCCTCCCTATGTAAAAGTTATGTATAAACTGGATTGGTATGTAGAGCGTTATTCCATAAAAATGCAGTTGGGCGCTTTGAAACACCCGTATAAAGCGCTATATAAATGTAATTTATTATTATTGTAAAGCACAATTTCCAGTTTGTAATGGAAAATACATTTTGCTCTCACAGTGGCGTATCCAGAGGAGGGGGGGGGGGGGGGCACCATGCCCCCAACGGATTTTTGTGAAAGATATTTCTTTCAGTAACTATTGCCTTTGTTGTTAAAGAGTTCTAACATTGACCCCAACCAAAAAAAGCAGCTCAAAAGCCAGTATGCATATTGATGATCAGTTTTGAAGAGAGCCCCCATTTGGAAGATGCATGGGTACCGCCCACCCCCTACTTTTTAATTTTGCGGAGGCCAAGTGTGGGGATTAAAAAAACATGTCTACATTTCGGAGCAGATGTGCGGTTGCCCCCCCCCCCCCCCCGACATCAAAAGCTGGATACGCTACTGGCTCGCATGTCGTACAGTTTCCTGCTAGACGGTTAGTTTCTAATGCAACTGAGTGGTTCGAGTCCTCATTGAGCCGGTGTAGAACAAAGTGCATACACACCTATCTCATTTCCTCCTCCCCATCTAGACAAAAAAAATGCAAACCACGACATAAAACGCTTCTCTGTTTTTTTCCCCAGGCCAACCGGAAAGGGAACTGCAGAGAAATCGTCAAACGGGCTCCAGACAACGAAGAACGGGTAGGCCTTAAATTATCAGTCCGCGAAAGCCAATGGCAAATATAAATATACATGGGCCTATGGGGTAAGCGGACATGTGTCTGATTTATTAAACTGTGCAATTTTTTTTTTACACATGTACAGGAAGACCGGAATTAAACGAATTGTTCTTCCAGAGGTTGTCGAGAAAGATTGCCGGCGACTGGGAGACGCTGGCTTTCATTTTAGGCTTTTCAAAGGAAAAGGTTGAAGCGTTCCGGGAAAAACCCAGAGACAACAGAGACAGGCAATGCCTGGCGATGTTAAGAGCCTGGCTAAGAATGCAGAATAATTATGAGGAAGCAAGGCAAATTTTGAGCAATGCCTTGATGGAAACGGGATGGAAAGATCTGGAACTGTCGTTACTGGGTAAGTTATTACATTGTATTATGCTTTGTTCATGTTGTTTCTGCTACGCCGTATCCAGTTAGGAACTGTTTTTGTCGTAAGTGGGGGACACCTATGACGCATGATCTCCAACTCTTGACAACGTTGCAACAGCCATATCTCTTTGTGCCCCCTTCTTCCGGCTCAGAATTTTTAGGAAGGCAAACGCGAAAACGTAAGTGTCCCCCTGCAATTGGACCCATGGGCCTTATTCACGAGTTGGCCATTTTTGTCGAGTTCCCTGAATGCATTTCATTAATTGTTAACTGTTGAATGGGATGGCGCCAGACTTTTTATGCAGGCGCAATGCATTCTTCTTTACTGTCTTTTTTTTTTTTTTTTAAATATGGCTTTAAACATAAGGGAATGTTTGATTACAAATATTAAATTATTCTGTGAAGCAGACTGAAATTTAAGTTGCTTTCATTTCTCTTTGCAAGTTCCAAATATTAAGATTTTACCTAACTTTAAATTCAATATGGCCGACTTGCGAATAAGGCCCATGGCACGCCACTGAAGGTTTACGACAAATATTGTCGGGATGAAAGTTGTGTCATAATGAATATATCAGGTACTTCTGCATACATGCCGAAACCTGTTTGGTTAGCTGTACTTAAGGTGTAGACTTCTTTAAAATGACCACAGCACCTCATATAACAGTATGTGATAACGTATTTCTTTTTACAGAACGGCCTTTTCTGGATGTAACAACCACAGTCAAAAGGAAGGAGGAAATGGACGAAGTCTTGACTAAGACTTTTGAAGATTTCATGCTGAACTTATTACAAATCTATGGCTTACAATGCGTCGAGGAAAAATGTTCTGAAATTCTCGAAAAATTCATCAGCGGAAATCTCCAAGATGTACAGTGTGGATCTGTGACATTCATTTTTCGCATCGAGAGTCGGGAGGGTCTGGACAAGCTGTGGAGTATGTACACCACTGGAGAACTCGCTAATAAACTAACAAAGATTTTTATTACGGATGAACTGACAACGGAAGATAAGAGTGACTTGGCTATCCAGGCGACTATACTGGAAAGCGACTACAAACGGGCCTGCAGATTCTTTGACGAGTTGGAAAAAGACAAGGTGAGTCAAAATGATGCAAAGTTGCAAAGGTGCAAAGGAGCAAACAGGGCGCTGGGATACTCTGATGAGCTTCACAGAATCTTGTGAAGGAAGTGGCCTTTATAATAATAATAATAATAATTTGGGAGGCTAATCATCCTTACTCGCAGCTGGGATGCTGAATTGCGAAGGACGCGGCTACAACGTGGTCGGGCTGCTGGCACGTAAAGGCGCCTATGGCTGCCGGCCACATCGACCCATATATGATAAAGGAGCACAGCCAAAGATCGAAAGTGTTTGATTTTTCCGGAGGGAGGAAAACCGGAGGGCCCGGAGAAAAACCCTCGTGGCACAGGAGAGAACCAACGCACAACTCTACTCACATGCGATCCGCGGCCAGGATTCGAACCGTGGTCACCTTGGTGAGAGGCGAGCACTTTACCCACAAGCCACCCGTGCCACCCACATCCGGTATGGAATATGACCTGTGTATGAAGCATCTGGCTACAGCTGTTCAAGCCCGCAGTTAGACAATGTGCGCAAATGCTATCCGAAAACGTTTCATTGCGAACCATGTGGACACAATTTTGAGCGACGCATAATGCAATCCGACCGTTCGTGATTCGAAACGGAGCCTGAGCAAGTGACGAGAATTGTAAATTTACAACGAAGATAACTTTTACAGAATTTCCTACATTATTACGCTTTTCAACGAAAAAAATATCTCTAAACTGGAATAAAAGAGTAATGAATCAGTCTTAACGGCCGTTTCAAACTTTGCAGAGTCATGACCGTGATGACGCACAGATCACATGGTCACGCACAATCCAATCAATCAGAGTGTGAGTTCATCAGAGTATCCCAGCGTCCTGTTTGCAGGGCGGGGAAGGGGGAGGGGGGTAAGAGCGAAGCTCTGTAGTTTTTTAAATACAACACTTGTTATTGTATCTTTTGTTATATAAAGGCAGTACCGAAGTCATATATCAGCACCCAAGTGTTCCCAGGGCATTTCATGCTGCCTCTTCTGATCAACAAGGAGATCAACATCGACACAACCATCGTGGAGACAAAGTTACGAGATCTCGATCATTTCCTGAGAGTGAAGACTGGGCGTCCCGAGGAGCTTGCCATCCTCAACGTAAAGGGTCTCCTGAACCTCCGCCTTCACCGCTACGAGGAGGCGCTTGACTGTTTCCACGCAGTCCTGGCGAAAGACCCGGATAACCTGAACGCCCTGGCCAACCTCCAATATGTCTTGGAGAAGCTCTTCAAATTGGCCGAGGCAGGGAACTACAGGGAGATGTGGCACCGTCTTCTTCGCCCGGTCGAAATGGCGACCCAAAGAGATGATTCAATTATTGTTAAAGCACTGAGGAAGCAAAGACGTATTCAAGCCAGGTGCTTAGCCGAACAGGCATATGCACACACCTTCGACATTCACAGTGAAAACGTCTCAGGGCAAAGGCACATGCAGTCAATAGAGCTGTACCAGAAGGCTCTTCAATTGGGTGGAGATGTCACCGACGAAGAGCAACATGAGTGGAAATTTTGTATGGCGATAAATGAACACAAACTGTTTACCTTCTTGCCTTACCATAACCAACCTGATCAACATGATCCCAAGGTCCACCTTGAACATGCACTGAAGTTGTTCTCTGATCTTGTTGTAGGAGGGGGTTCTGTTGACAAGGAGATTCAGTGGGATAGCTGGTGTCATTTGGGGGATATTTTCAGGACTATGAAACAGAGACATATGCAACAAAATGTGCCACATGAGATGAGAAAATACACAAAGGATCCGGAACAGTGTATGACAAAAGCCATGGAGATCTCACCCGACAACCCGAGGCTCTTGGTGCGCTACGCAAACGTCCATTACTCCCTCAACAAGGACAGAGCAAAATCTCTTGAACTATTGGACGCGTCTTTAAAATCCGATGCGACTAACTGGAAAGCCCTGTCCACGCGAGCCACGATCAATATGAAACATTATAACTCTCAGCAAAAGCAAGACCGTCCTGAACTGAGAGATATTCTGGACAGCGCCAAAGGTGATCTTGAGAAGGCACTATCCATGAATGTCACACCCTGGGATCTGACCCAACTTGGACAGGTTTATTATCGCCTTGCAAAAAATCACACCAAAGAGGAAATAGCAAAAAAGTCTCTCTTTCAGAAAGCCCTTGTATGTTTCTCGAAGTCAGTAGATTGTCCAGATGGTAACAACAGAACTGACGTGCATTTCTTGCGGGGCCTCTGTCTTTTTGACATCGAGGAAAAAAGGGCGGCGATCGGTTGCTTTAAGCAAGCGATTGCATGTGAGGCTCCGTACCACAAAAACACTCGTAACTTTAACGAATTGCTCAGAGTATACTTGAGCATACTCCAAGAGGAAAATCCCCCAAAGGACGAGTCTATCCTGGCAGAGACAGCCTTTTTCTTGAAGAAGGCGCTAAAGAAATATGGCCAATATAACATGAGTAAGTACTGTATCAGTAAGTTCACAGTTGAGCACAAGAAAGAGCTGCTGTTGCTCTTGGGTTACTGTAGAAAGTATGGTGAACTCAATGAGCTCGTGTCTTTGTTGGAGAAAACATCATTTGCAACACCACGTTCTCCACTACACATTCATGAGACACCACGTGCACCGTTCGGTCATGGCATGAGGTCTGCTAAAATATCAAGCATCTCGCATGATGGACGCCCTATGCTTCGTACATTGCGTTATGAAGGGGCAGGGACCCCACAAGAAGAGGTGGACATGCAGAATACAGGAGCCAGCGTCACGGGTGGGCCAGCGGAGGAAGCATCGCCAACCATCCAAGAACCTGCAGAGGAGGTCAAGGAGCAACCAATCAAGGAAGCACCAAAGGAGGCCCGCGTCCCTGATTTCAAGTATGATTTCATCGTGGTCTATCCTAAGAGCGAGAGAGACTGGGTGTCCTACGACCTGCTGAACGAGCTGGAGGCGGTCCGGAACCTGAAGGGGTGCACGCGTGACAGGGCTGCCCTGGCTGGATCAATGAAGATCTCAAGTGAGATCAATCTAATGAAGGAAAGTGCCAGCATCTTATTGGTCATCAATCAAGATTTTATGTCTGAGTGCGAGGCTTCCATGAACTACGCGCTCAAGCTGAGGAAAGACAAACAGCGCAGTCGTGTGGTAATACCGGTGCTTCGGGACGACTCAGAGATCCCTGATGAAATCGACATGTTGTTGAACCCATTCACTGCAGCATCTGGTCCGGTTAACTGGGACAGGTTGAAATTTTCCATCGAGCAACAAATTTAGAACAGCCTTTTTCATCCCAAAAGACACTCATGTTACAGTCATCTTTGTCAATACGTATTTCTGTGTAGTAATTTGATGTACGAATACGTTTTTCAAGTATTTGAAGTCTTCGCAAAACGAGGGGGGCACAATCATACTTTTTCAAATTTTTAAAAAGAATTTCAAAAATTTGGCAGATATGGTGCAAGCTATCACATGTACGTGGTGCGACAACCGCAGGAGCTGGGGCGCTTCACTTTTATGCGACTTTTTTTGTCAAAAAGAGTAATCTCGGGGGTTAAGGATCTGGCAAATCTTTAAGGCCGCATCCTTGATCAAAGCAAGCAAGATCTTGTCCGTTTCCAAAAACGACCGATGTTTTCCGAATAAGTTTTCGTTCACACTCATAATTATGTTGGCAAAAGCTCCGGTACCCCTCTGGCTTTGTATTATATTGTATTATTCATCATCAAAATACCTGTCATTGTTGTTATCAAATACAGCTTCGAATTCACTAAATTCAGTGCCATGTATGATGCACAGTACATGTCTTTATTGTAGGGGAGACTGGAGCTAGTTGTTACCGGGGCAGGTTGTTTAATACAGAGTCGAATGTTTGAGACAAAGCGATTGAGAGCTGCGCTCATTCTCCTTTCTTATGACTGTGGGTCAACTTTGTCACATGCGTGTTGGAGGTAAAGCCGTTGTATCGTAAGAAAATTAAAAGTGTGTTTTTGGACCTCCAAATATTTTTTAAATTATTTTTGGTAACTGTATCATCTATAGATAGAGAAGTATGACTCTACCTTTTTCATAATGAACTTAAGTCCTAGCATCCCTTAGGCATAATGGCGTGGATTCCTCCCAAAGGCAAAGTAGTTATACATGTGTTAATTAAAGTTAATTAAGTACATTTACCATTATAGGGTAGGTTGTTACGCTATAATTCATCGAATATTTTTCTTGTGTGAGTGAATAAATTAATCTTTAATGCAACTAAACACGATCAGAAGGAATCAAACAATCAAGCACAATGGACATGATCAAAAAGTTGTTCTGAAAAGAGAGCCTGTGCGACCAAAATAACTCCGATACAAGAGAAATAACCAATGTGGATTTCAAAATTTCATGAAACAAAGAACACATGGAATATACACTTAATATCTGTTGAATGCTCATGTCAGAATAAAGCACATAAAAAGAACAAAAAGATGAAGGCGAAACACAAAATGCTTAACTAGACATGTGAATATATTGTTTGTAATTAAGTAAAAAAAACCCCATATTTTAACCAAACTTGAAAATTCAGTGTTTCTAGTAAAATGTAGAACCTACATGTACTGGCCCAATATTGCATTATACTCCGAATACCTGGGATGAATTGTTACAAAATATTTTCATTAATTATTTAACAAATAATTAATAAAGAGTCTTTATAAGCTGTAACTGTGTTTTGTTTTATGGTAGACATACTGAGCTTCCACAAGGTGGAAAACCAAATGCTATAAATAGAAAGGGAAAATACTGCTTTTAATTCGTCTTACAAATGTGTAGTCTAATATTAAATTTCAAACCTGATTTCGATGCAAAATGCATCAAATATGGAGCAGGGCAATGGAAAGTGTTATTCACTGTAACCAAACTATACCTTCCACCCGTTTAAATTAAACTCAACTCAATTCATACCAGTTATTTGTAACAATTTATAGAGCACAAACTGCGATCTTAGAAAACAATCAATCAGCTTTCTCCAGTTTAGAGAAAATCCTACTTTTTGAAAAAGATGGAAAATACAAAATTTCTGAACCCATCAATGATTGTTGCATGCGCATTTAAAAATAATTTTCATGTGTGACAGTTTGATGATTGCACTGATTGCATGTACATTCACAAGATTGAAAAGACGATATGTCATAAAGTTATTGTGGCTACGTTAGATGAAAGAATTAGTACCTACTAAAATAAAATCAGTGTGCAGTGTTTGTCACAGTTGGAGAAAAACGTCTTTTACATTTATTTTTGCATTAGATTATAACTTTAAGCTACACATTAAAAAAATGTTTTCAATGACGGAGTATTTTGTAAAATTGAGGTGAATACGTGCTTGACGTATACCACTTTATACTGTACAAACCTTGCTTTGAACATTTTCAAAAATCAATGATTGGTCCAGGTTCTTTTCTTCAAATGAAGAAAAAAAATATGCAGAAACAGGTTTTTATACAGGGTTAGTCAAAAAGCGGAACCCCAAAAATTACATTTCATATTTGAAAAAATATGAAACACCAAAAATGATAATGACTGCAAAGCCATTTTTATTAAGCTACTTTTAGATGAAAACATCACTGAAATTGCTCAGTTCGTACAAGGAATATCAAGATTTAAACACAATGACCCTAAACCCTCTTTCGTCCAAAACAAACAGCAATTTATTATGTATTCTTACTGTTTGGAACAACAAAGAAAATGACACAGAATACAGAATTGTCAACAACTGTAGTGCACAATATCTTTATTAACAACCCTTGTTAGGCAAACAATATGATTTATAAAATCCACTTTTTTTTTTAAAGACGGGCCTTTAAAAGGATTTTTTTTTACTTTTAAACTGAGGTTTTATCGTTGGTGATGTTTGAAGACAATTGAGATGACGATTCTTGAAATCGCATTTTTGGACAAAAGAGGTTTAGGTTCATTGTGTGATATTCTTTGAACGGATTGAGCAATTTCAGTATTTTTTCATCGAAATGTAGCTTATTCAATTGGCTTTCCAGTCATTATTATTTTTGGTGCTACATATTTTCTTAGATGTGAAATATAATTTCGGGGGTTTGGGTTCCGCTTTTTTTTACTCACCCTGTAGCCTTGAAACCACTTTTTAATATGAATAAAATGAAAATAAATTTCAAATTAAGAGTAAAGATACTTTTTTTAGAAGATGAAAAATACTGGATCCATGAATGATTGTTTGCACATTTATTTTAAGAATAGTTTTAATATGTGAGTTTTAATTGTTACCGGCACTGATTAGAAGTAAACTCAAAAGATACATTCAATATGTCGATAATCTGCATACGACAAAATAAATCATCAGACTTGAGTTCAGTGACTCAAACGATACTTGCTGTTAATCCAACAGCACACGGCTAACTTGTGAAAATAAAGTATCGCTGTAAGATTTGAGGCTTTGCATGGTGGGGTATCGGTATCGTTTCGGTTTGCGGTAACACCATGTGGTAATAACTACTGCTTAGAAGATATTAGTTCTGAAAAGAACTTGAGTTATTCCAAGTTGCAACTTCCGTGGCTCACAGCCAACTGACACACCTGAGCGAGCAGGACGCTCAGCGGGCATCCCTCAACACAATGCCCAAGGCTCACAGCCAACTGACACAGTCGAGCGAGCAGGACGCTCATCGGGCATCCCTCAACACAATGCCCAAGGCTCACATCCAACTGACACACCCGAGCGAGCAGGGCATGCCCAGCAAGCACTCCCACTCCTAACAAATCCTACTTAAGGAGTAGCATCTCCTGACGATGACTAGAGCAGGCTAGTCGAAACGTTGAGACCAAAGACAAGTTCGTTTAGAACTTACAGCAGGACTGTTCTTATCAGAACAAAAAACTACTTAGCAAAGTTGATAATAAGCAGGACAAGTTCTTTTCAGAACTAATATCTATAAAGTATCGTGTTCATTGCCTCAGCCAAATGTGGTGGTGTATGGGATTGAACTTTCATGTATATCAAGCAAGATGACAAAATTAATAAAAGCTTAGTTGATACGAGTATGGCATATTTGTTTCATCATTTTGGCAATTTTTCAGCTGTTCAATTTCTGCTTTAGGAACAGTCGAGTCAATTTACGCTTTGACCTCAAACAAAGTGCAATAGAAATCTTTCAAGCGTCAAACAACTTCAAATGAATACCAAAAAAATTTGGGACTTCTGTCCTCGAATAATTCGTCTGGTGTCTTTTTATACATGCGTGTAGTATAAGCTACTGTTTATGATTTAAGACAACATGCGAGTGCAGCAGAAAAGATCCTGAAGTATGAAAAAAAAACCCGTCGCACACGAGAGCTACGTAGGCCTACTGAGGAAAAAGTTAGTCGAGACCGTTTTCTCAGAACGTAGGTCACAACATAATCCTAGTGTGTGGTGAATTTTTGCTGAATTGTTTTTGCCAATATCTGTCCTGTTTGATTTTTTTTCGCCTCAAAAGAAGACGAACAGGCTCAGGTTGACTCTTTGCTTTGAATAGCCCAATGTTGCGTTTAATTATAAGCGAGTAGCTTAACCAACCCATTCCAAGACACGCATAGCGTAATTCTTGCAGAGATCTTGTGTGGCCCGCTAGCGGTAAAACCTACCCGTGTATTCGACCCTCCGTAACTCTGAACACCTACCTTACGAGTGTGACCCGCTAAACCACTGACCGATAACCGGTCATGTGGCCAGTAATCTAATAACTTCCCCTTCCTTATAGCTTTACTCATTGTGCGTAGATTCTCAAGCAGTCTAGAGACTAAGTCTTGTACACAAATTTAATGTACCGAGATCCCTTTCACTTTCTCCTTAGGGTCAGTTCCCCACAACACGCCCACGAGTAATCCTGTGAAATCGCCGTTATACCACAACTCTCGGACTTTCTTTCGCTAGAATCATGGGCGTCGCCAGGATGGGGCAAGGGGGCGCATGCCCCCCTCCCCCCCCCCCGGAAAAAAAGAGATAAATAAGAAAAAGAGGTGCAAAATGACATTACTGTTTATTTATTGCACATTTAACAACATGGGCGTCCGCAGGGGTATCAATGGGGGTGTAGTGGGTAAATGTTCACCCGCCCAACCTAAAAAAAAATGATAGTAAATTGAGAATATGCCATAGAGAAAGCACAAGGAGTATGGGAAATAATGTGCTTTGCCCCCCTCACTAGAAAAAAATCCTGGCGACGCCCACGGCTAGAATGTCTAAGTCATCCGGGACTGAATTGTGTACAAATCCTCCCAAGAGATTTCCTCCATACATTTTAAACACGTATATGATGACTCATAGCCAGCAGAATCATATGCCCTCATTGGCTAAAACACGCCCAAAAAGTCTATATAAAGCGGGTACCAATAGCAGGTTGTCATTATCGAGCTGGGCTGTCAAGCCACATAGCTCTCATCAGTGTCATCCTCTAGCCACAAGGCACTCAATACTCAGATAAAACATGTTAGGCTCAAGCTTAGGGCAAGTTCGCGCAAGAACTACTGTTAACCATTGGTTAACCATAGTTCGAATAAAGTTAGCCCGAACTCTGTCTAGTTGATCGACGGTGGTTGACTATGCTAGTCGACTATTTGGAACCAACCTATGGGGCTGGTTGCATCGCTGGTAACCAATAGCCGCGCGCATTCATAACGTACAGCAGGGAGCCAGAATCCAGAGGTTTTGCGATGACATTTTGATTAGCGTTTGACTATAGAGACGTTCGCACGTTGCTATTAGTGCGCAGGCGTAAGGTACGTCACAAATCAACCACTAGTCCACTAATGGTCCTTGCCCGAACTTGGCCTTAACTGATATTGTCAGAAGATGTTTTCTACAGTGTGCCCTCTGTTGAGATGTACATAATCCTGAGTAAACCAGATACTATAATGTGCGACCAACTTGAGAGAAGCACGTATGTATTTACAATAATTTTCGGATATCAAAAATTAGCAATCAATACAAAATTTACTTGGGCTTCATGTTAATTCTTTCTGTGCGTCGCTTTCAAAACATCGATAATACCTCAGAATGAGAAGAGGAAACATCGGAAGGAATTGCATGGAGCCTATGAAAACAAACGCTGTGGTGTAACTGCCTGTGGTGTCGAACAGCCAACCTTGAAATGTGCACAAAAGAGACAGGTGAGATGACAACAGATATTGAAATATACTTTGATAAGCAAAATTATAATCACCATGTAGGCCTACTTTCTTATGGTTGCAGAGTAGTAAATAGGTTCTGCCCAGGACCTGGAACTTCGACTTCTGTGGAAATTTGGATGAAAATGGACCGGAAAGTCACTCTATTTTGTAATAGAGGGATGGATCATTTTCAAAATGGCGATGGACTGCAGGATTGCCTTTTACAGGTTGTCATCTTCGGAGGGGAAACAAATTACCCCAATGTCACCCCCACAATAATTGAACAGAAAGTTAAAAAGGGTTTATCAAGCTTTACTTCGATGTATGTTTTGAACAATTGAATAGTTGTGAGTGTTTTTTCCCGATTTTTTTCTTCAAATTTATGGTTGATGTCTATGGACATGTTATACTGGTCTGCACCCTTATTATGGTCTCCGCGCAATAAGATTAGATGGCGTGTCTCTTTACCACATTTTTCTGTCTGCTCACGTGGTCTGTGGACGGCATTTCCGAGCCAGGAATGGACTGTCAGTGTACCTGTTTACATGCATGATAATTGTGCAAATTTGTGTTCTAATTCGGTGGTTTTTTGCATCATAATGACTGATTGCTGAGCCTTGAGCAATCGGAAAGAGGAAAGGTTCCAGATTTATTTACCAACAGAGCCGTCATGGCGATCGCAGCCACTGCAGGCCTGACTGAATTTGTCAGTCAACAATTGACTGCTAATATTATAGCAGTAATGTAAGATTATAATCTAATCGTAATGTAAATGATAAAGACAGAAAATCAGAGGAAAATTCCCCAAATGACCAAAAATATAGATACGGTTCTCAGGTTTCTAACATACCAGTCGTGAGATCGAGAGGTGGGGAACACAGAGATTAGCGGTAATCAGCGCCCTCTATGTGGGCAGTCGGCATGATATGTGTCTACAAGTATGGGCTGGCCTACCCCCTCATCGATTCGTATAAACTTATTAGGTTTTACGAACAGAAGCGCATGCAGTAAGCATGGTTAAACCATGCTTACTGCATGCAAATGGTGTAGCATTGCTCCAATTAAATGGAACCGGAAGTTAACGCAACTTGAGTGTTTAGCGAATGGGGCTTGTAATTATAGCAGTGTGCGCGTGTGTGATCGATAAAATGACATACAGTTTTTTCTTCCCATTCATGGCTCTGGAGGATTTTGTTTAAGGGAAAGTAAGTACGAGAACCATTACGTTACCAACTGACGCATGCGCATTATTGTCATTCACTGTAATTGCGAACCGCCGGTAAGACGCCACATGTTTGGGCACATTTGGGTTAGTATTAGCGTGCGTACTTCGCGTATATAGAAAATGCAATGACGAATACCCACTGAAAATAAGAACGGCACAGCTTACCAGGTAAAAAGCCCAGAGAGAATTCCAAGATGGCCCCAGTAAAAGATGTCCAACCAAAAGCTCCGACCAGTAAATCTACACCGAGTACCTGCTTACTGAGAACGTCCTGAAGACAGCTGAGGGCGCCAGAGCTTGTCACGATCAAGAGTGATGACGTCATCATTGGCCAATATGACGTCAGCCAGGGAGTTGCGCAGTATGACGCCGAACAAACCGTTACAGCGATGACCGTCAGATGGAAACTCGATATCACCCCACGGTCAAGAAAGAATCCCTGAACCAGTTTTGCTATTAAACCTCCAACGCCTCCAACTGTTACAAATATTGCCGCCTCTTGTAAGGAAAAGCCATTTGACTGAGCTTGTGAAACGAAGTAAATGAGCCACATGTTGAATGCAAACTTTGAACCGCAGGCTATGATGGCCACCGACCAGTACCGGAAATCAGAGAGAAGTCGAATATCGAAGATCTCCAATAGGTTCTTGTAAAATGAGGTACAGCGAGAGGGAAGTTGACTTGGATGTTTTGATATTCCATCGTTTGCTGGAAGCTTTTGGTATCTGCTTGCTGAAGGTGCTCCTGCTCGCAGCATGAGGGCGCCACACACCACAAGATGCACAGAGATGGCACCCACCAGTAGCATGGCTCCTCTCCATCCATACGTATCGATGAATATCTGCACGATTGGTGCACACACAAACAGCCCGATGGAATCACCCGTGCGTGCAATGCCAGTGGCCGTGGCGTAGTTCGTGGTGAAGCAGCGGGCGATGGCCTCTTTTATAAGCACACCGGAAATCCCGAGCCCTGAACCTGACGTGTTGAGAAAACAAAAACAATGTGGGGAGAAATCAGAGATAACATCGCTGCGATCAACCGCTAGCTTCGCATGCACCCTCGTTCGCATGAGTACGAAAACCGCTCGCCCCGTCCCCATCCAGCTAGGAGCACTGTGACCTGTAATATATATTGTTGAGCTCTAATTGGAATGATTTTAATTACAGGTGAACAATGGCCCACACCAGTACACAGAGACAGTAAGGAGGAGTGAAGGGTACATTGTAATATAGTGTTTTACTTTTGAACGCATTTATAAACGTTATTTTTTTTTGGAGCACAGCTTATAAACATGTTAGCACGTTTAAGGAAAGAGACGCCATTGACCTAGGTAACTGGTCTAGGTTCAATTTTGAATCAGTTTTATTATGCAGATATCTGCCTATATAAACCTATATCCATGTACGAAAAAAAACCCAAAGCCTCAAACAACTGGTTTCTAGTTCTGCAGCTGTTTGTAACTGAAATTTAATTGACTCTCGAAAAAAAAAAAACCAACACTTTTAAACGTTCTGTAGTTGTAAACGCCAGGGGTGAACGGCACTGGAAGCGTTTAACTTAGTTAAACAAGACGTTTATTGTGCCTAACCAGCACCGTTCAGGAGACGTACTACGGGTACGTCATTTGCTTACCCAGGAGTAGAGTGAACACGCAAGCTAGGTGAATAGGCGAAGTTGCAAACGACGCCATGATGACCGAAAAACCAATCATTGCACCACACGTCATGATGACGTAGCCGGGACCGAACCATCTATCCATCAGCCTCGAGGTGATTGCTGCAGAGATGAAAATTGGTTTGTAACGGGTGGGTCTTTGAATATTTTTTGAGTCGGAATGGTGATTAAAGAGATTGCATGATATTGTACCTGTCGAATGGCTGAACATTGGCTGTAAGTCTTTTTATAGGCTCGGTAGGAAATTCTGTTTCCTTCACCCTTGCATATACGGATGTAATGTTGGAAAACATTTTGTTCAAATCTAACACGTCCCAGATAGTTTGCCTTGCCTGTACTTATTTCTAGCCGTAAATGCAGCCATCAATGTTTGAACCAAACTGTCAACGTAAAACTTGCGCGATGATATCAGTGGTACCATGCCAGTTTCAGATCCTAGCGCACACGCGTTTGAAGCAATTTGTAGTAGTAGTAGTAGTAGTAGTAGTAGTAGCAGTAGTGGTAGTAGTAGTAGTAGTAGTAGTAGTAGTAGGAGCAGCAGCAGCAGCAGCAGCAGCAGCAGCAGCAGCAGCAGCAGCAGCAGAAGCAGCAGCAGCAGCATTATAAGGGAAGCAAACCCAAAGTTGCATGAAGAAACGGTCTTCCAAACGGGACAAATAAATTTTAAAAGATTTCACCCGCCAACGTGAACATATCTGTGTGCATCGTGTTTTATTTAAAATAAAGTATTACGTAACCTTTAGAAATTGGCCTTGATCGCAACCACACGGCTGCATAAAACTTCATTTATAAATTACAACTACATGCAATTATGTGAATATGAATCTAGAAGATGAGCTTTCAGGTTTTTAACAATTATAGATATTTTAAGGAGTCATCTAAGCTGTTCCATTATAAAGTGACACGTTGATAAATATTATTTTTGACAATTTGGTTCTATTAATTATACCAATGAAAGTCGGAGGTTAATGTAAATAAAGAGGTGAAACAGGGAGGTAATGTATTATTTATAAATCTATATATGCATTTGCCCAGATTAAAAAAATTATGTACAGGTCATTGAATTGTAAGAGACTCAGATTTGCAAATAAGGGAAGGGAATAATCACGATAGCCAGCAGGAGATATCAGGAGATAATCAGACTGCTCGTTTCTGAAAAATGAGCAGTGTGTTGCATTTGGATGGTGAACCACCCCCAGTCAAAATTAAACAATTTTCTTTGACGAAACAAAAGATTATACAAAGTATCAGATTCTACTGAGGAGGTAATAATTTAAACAATTCATTATGCCAACATTGTTTTTGATATGCTGGCGCTATATCGTCAATATGTTCTTTTTTTTCAGGTGAGGTTCCCGGCAATAATTATGCCCATGAATTTAGTCCTTTAAAGGGAAAGTACGTCATTGGCTTTTGCTGTGATTTTCAGAAATGCAACTATTTGAGGGATTAGTATAATAGATAAAAATGGTTACACTGACATGTTTGAAGTTTTGTGTTCGAAAATGCTGGAAAAACCAAAAAAAAAAAAATAACCAAAATGTTCAAATAGTCTGGTTCCCTGACTCCACTAAAGATGAAATGAATCAATTTATAGATGCCGGAAAATTGTAAGGGAAGGGAACCAGTCTAGTTGGCCTGCACCGTTCATGAACATGCAATAGCAAACAACATTTGGACTGAAAAAATGTAAATTTGGAGCAGTAGTTGAAAAATAGTTAGGTTTTTCCAACGGTCGTCCGCCGTCCACCGTTGAAAATTTATACAAAAATGCCACTTTTCTTGAAGATGACTTCACACCAGGTGCCATTATTTTACAGGATGCTTAAGACTGTCAATTACCAGCATCCCAGTAAGGTATTTCGTAAAAGTTTGGTAGTTTTGTTTTTTTGATGTTTGCAAATGTTGTATATTACCTTTAAACTTGATCTACACTTGAGTCTTTTAAAATTAAAGGAACAGGTTGACAGTATTTATACTGATGGGCACAGAAAATCACGTAGTTCGATTTCAACAAGTTAATACATATTTCTTAGGTAAGAGCCATGTACTAATTGTTTTAAGTTCAGCATTAAGTTTTCTAATACCAGTATCAACATTTTATGAGTATATAATAAACTTGTGTCATCGGCAAATAAACAAAATGAAATAATATCGGTGCTGCAGATATCATTAATATAAATAACAAAAGGTAGTGGACCTAACACAGAATCTTGTGGTACTCCACAAGTAATATTTCGATCAGTAGAATTATTTATATGACACATGCTACTTTCTATTAATCAGATAACCTTTAAATAATGTCCAGCGCTGTTCCACGCACACCATAATGTTCCATCTTTAATAATAATCAGTATGTCATGATTGACTGTGTCGAAAGCTTTGGACAAGCTTTGAAAAAAAATGCGACACTGGAATGACGACAAGAGCCCCAGTGGTTTCAATTTTTGAGGACCAAACATTTGTTACCTCGAAATTCATTCGCACTACACAAACCCCGTCCAAGTTCTTAAGGTTTGAATTGAGTGAAAGAACATGTATTCCACTTTATGAACGATCTTTTCAATCTGTGATCGTTTTGTGAGAATAAGAGTGCATTCCGGACGATTCTGTGGCTTTAATCTTACCAGATAATCCGCTGGCAGCGCCTATGATGGACGTTATCCAGCCCAAGATCCACGTGGTGGTATTAAACTGGTCTTGTAACAAGGGAAGCATCATGCCGATGGTCTTAAGGACTGCCGACCAGATGAAAACTCGGGTCCACATAGCCAGCACAGCAAACCACCCAGCACGGCCTCCATCAGATCCACCAGCTGAGCTAGCCATGGCTCGACTGATTTTGTCCTATATGAAATAGCAATGTATTAGTACAGGCGGATACAGTATTTTTAAGCTCTGCCAGGAGCTACTACATGTCACTTGGTGGTCGGCCTGTCTGTCTGTCCGTCTGTATGTCTGTTCCGAAAATTGACCCAAAGTATGGCGTCCCATATGTGCCACGGCGTCGCATTGTTCGGCGTCACATTTTTAAGCTCTGGCATGGATCATTTTGATCGATTTCATGCACGACTGTCATGCAAGACTTCTTGCAACACGGCCAGAGCTAATTAGTCCGGTCAATTTACGTTTTGACCAAGAACAAATTTCTTATTTTTATATTTTTCCGGAAGAGTAAACTTTGAAGATGAGTTTTTTTTTTCTTTCTTTTTTTTCGCAGAAAAACTGGGATTCAAGTTAAATAGGTTGCAACAGTTTCTCTGAAAGGATTTGTTTTCTGAGGAGCACACTTTAAAGATTTCTTCCCTTTTTCAATGTAAAAAAACTGTAAAAGTTATAAAATTGCAACGTTTTTTAGAATTTCCCTGAAGCTTCTTTCCTTCGGGGCAAACTTTGAGGATCCCCCTCAACCCCCCCCCCCCCAAAAAAAAACCTAAACCAAACAAACAAACAAACAAACAAACTGAGGAACAACTTTATGTTGCAACGTTTTAATTTTTATTTCTCTGAAAGTTTTTTTTTCCACGAGGAGAAAAGTTTGCAGATTTGTTCCTTTTCTCTTTATTTCGTCGCAGTAACTGGGAAACAAGCGGTTGCAACATTTTTAGTTTTATTTCTCTGAAAGGTTTTTTTCTTTCCTTTGGAACAAACTTGGAAGGTTTGTTCTTGTTCTTTTCTTTTCGCTGTTTAAAAAACATGGGATCACGTTAAGACATCTAACATTTTGTTTTTTAGTTTCTCTGATTTCTTTTTCTTTTCCCAAGAGCAAACTTTAAAGGTCATTCCTTTTATTGTTAACTGTTTGCTTAGTAAAAGGAAATGCTTACAATTAAAGAGGTTGCAAGTACATATATATTCAAATCCGTAACCTTACCTGAGACTGTAGAGGGGGGGGGGGGGGTTCAATGTGGAACAGCGACTGGAACTCGTAATGCAGGTTAGCAACAAAACGTCCAAAGTCTTGTCTAAATTATTTTTGTGTGTGTGATTGTATTGTAATTACATCACTATTGAACTAATGGAACTCAATGATTTTTTAAATTGTCCTTGTTTGTCTGTTAAATTCCTTTTTTAGACAGGTCCTGAGTTCAGCGCACGTTTCACTGCTCGATTTACCTGGTTTAATCCAATTATATTTATCTTTATTTCGGCTTTTTAGGTTGTACCAATTTCTAACAATTTAAGGTTGTGCCAATGTCCTGGATTTCTCTACCAATTCTGCATTTCGGATTTATTCCCCCCCCACCCCCCCCCCCCCCCCCCATACTAATGTAAAAATGGACCGAAGCCCATGTCCACGTTTACAACTATGCCGATGCAAGGATTAATCCCACGAACGATTTACTGAGCTGCAATGCGTGGCAAAGTTTAGTCAATTGGTGGATAATAATTAAGGTAGTAAAAGAAAATCCAAATTCTTATTTCAAAAAATCACAATACCCTATAGTATTGCGCGGCAACTTCGCGGCAAGGAAAAATCCTAAAGACTTCAGCAATATATCGACAAAAAAAATCCGTCTGTTGTGATCAGTCGTGCTTCCTGACGCGTCCTACGTGATATGAGAAGATAAGGCTGACGGGTAACAGACGCTAAGCATAAATCATGTCACCGTACAAACGACAGTTGACGCGTTAACGCGTTACGAAAAATCAGTCCAAAAAAGGCGAGTAAAACCACCTTTCCACTCCCTGGATGAAATTTTTAGTATGTTAACCAGTGTTTTGTCCGTCGTGTGAGAGTGTTAAAATAAATTCTATTGCATTCTAGGTCAATGCCTGTACAGGGCGAGTCAAAAAAAGCGAAACCAAAATATCGGGACCATTGTTTTGAGTTCTGCATGTAGCACTTTCAAAATCTAGGATATGAAAGCCCAATTCACCAGCTTTCGTTTAGTACAAGAATCATTCGAATCACTAATGTACTTTTCAAGTTACAGAACTTTAAATACAACCACCGTTTCAAAGTTCTGTCCACGGATCACACGAAAGTAAGTGTTTTTTCAACAAAACGAAAACAAATCACATGGGGATGTGTGTGAATTGTTTTCGTTTTGCTGAAAGAACGCACACCTTGTTGTGATCCGTGGACAGAACTTTAAAACGGTGGTTGTATTTAAAATTCCGTAACCTAAAAAGTGCATAAGTGATTCGAATGATTGTTGTATTAAAAGAAAGCTTATGAATTGGGCTTTCATATCCTAGATTTTGAAAGTGCTACATGCAGAACTTCACACTAAAACAATAGTCCCGACATTCGCTTTTTTTTACTCACCCTGTATTGTCGTAAATTGACCGGACTATAATTATTGCGCACTCGCACTTGTTTAACAATGGCCGACACCACCCGTGACCTTCTAGCCAAGATCCCAAAAGGAGGTTTTCAGCGGGAAACCAACCAAGTGCCAAATAACTAATGGTTGGCCGAGGTGTTGTGCCATTTGCTATACTACGTACCACGCAATATAATGCCCGTGCATGTTCCCTCATGCATATCAAAGCGATACAAAGCTTTTACTCTCTAACTCCTGTTTAACGCATGATGTGAGTGGGATAAAAAAAAAAACCCAAAGGACACTGTTGGACTTTTGAAGCAAGGTATATACAGCGCACCCCCACCTTTTGTGTTGGTTATTGTGTTCCCGGCCCCGGAATCTCATCAATTTGTTTGGGAGATGTATTTTTTAGGTATATCAAAAGGGTTTGGGGTGTATACCCTATATTTGTCCTAACTCGTGCACGGTATAGTCCTTGATCGCAGCTTTATGTAATATTATAGTTCGAGCAATTATAGTTCGAGACTCATGTAGGCCTAAGTTTAAAAAAAAAAGTGTTAAAAGTGTCACAAAATAGTTTGAATGGATCGACACTATGCATATACTAGCTTGGTCTATACTAGTCTTTCAACTTAAATTAGATCGGGGATTACATCAAACTCACGTTTTGCTGCTTACTTTCACAAATCGATGTTTTTTTTTTACCGTGTGAACAGTCTCGACCCTTGCTGGAATAGCTGATCAAATCATAATAACACGTTTATTAAGCCGTAACAAACCCATACAACGAAAGGTTTATGTAGCCTTGTAAACAACCTTTAACACAGGTGCTTAATTTGGTTCCTCTCTCTCTGAACTCACCCTCGATCGTAACATGTCTACTTGGGTCATTAATTGGTGGTGAAGAGACAAGTGGTGGTGGTGGTTCACTGTAATTACAAACATTATAATATTTAACTTCAGTAACAATTCGAAAACATAATTAATCATTGACCTATTGACTAACCTATTGAGCCTGCTCTTGACATGTTAGTGACCAAAACACATCAAAACTTTACCGAGAAAGTTGTAAATAAACTTATAAAATCATTCTGATTACAATAAATTTTAACCTTAAATAAACCAATGTGGCTTACCGATCGTGTTGGAACTGGAGTCTACACCATTTTAGATCTAGGTACCTTGCTAAAGTCACATTAATTGTGGGATGAAATCGGTACGCGTCAATTATTATTAACGAATCATCGGAATCATGAATAATTTTACCTATGACCTCATTAATATGCCATCTCAACAGAGGGCGCTATAACGAACGTACTGAAATCCAAGTTTACAGGAACCGCAACAAACGTCAACAAACTTTTTTTTCAATCAAAGGTGCGAGCAATTACAAAGTATAAGAAAACACATTGAATAAGAAAAAAACCTACAATTAAAAGAAAAACGACTTTGACATCTCGCCTCTACATACGTATACAAACAGGCAGATGTTGATGGCTTATCCGAGTCCTTTAGGGAATGTATTTCTTCTATCAGCTTCCAGAAACCATCGAATCTACAGTGAGGCTACTATACTCAGCAAACATGACGGTGCTGGGCTTGTTATGGGCAGTGCCGTACAGTTTTTATGGTACAAAACCAGAAGCGGGTTCGGTGTTGACGGTATAGAGCCAGAATTGGTCAAGTGCGCGATTTATTTTCCCCTAAACCACATCCGCATGTGGTGTACGCTATGACGTTTTGGAACTTTACTTCTCTGTTGTCTTAAAAACATGAGAAAAAATATAAATTTAGAAAAAAAAACCGTGTTTAAATTCTGACATTATTTCCCTTAAAAAAGAGTATCGTAGAGTGCGCTCAACAACCTGTAATGCGGATGTTGTTCGGGAAAAAATAATTCGAGTCCAGTGCTGGCGCTATTACAGCAAACCGTAACGGTAACCCAATACATGTACAGCGCCTGAACTGGGCCTTGGTTGGCGCTATTAAGGCATACCGTAACGGCAAGACGGAACACGGCCTAAATCGGGCTATAGTGCTGGCCCTTTTACTGCAAACCGTAACGCCAAGACGGCACACAGCCTGAATCGGGCCAGTGCCGGACCTCTTCGACAAACCATAACGACGAGATGGTACATGGCCCGAATCGGGCCAGTGCTGGTCCTTTAAAAGGCAAACAATAACGGCAGTATGGCACAGCCTGAATCAAGACCCAAAATTTATAAAATGACCCACATGTCAATTTTCATGTCATCAAATCTGTATTAATTCGGTAGAACCCTTCTAATGCATACACCTAAGGCACTGATGAAATAAGGTGATGATAGTGTGATGGAGCAGTCTGGCCAGTGCCTTGTAAATTCAGGTGCTGTACCGTCTTGCCGTTATGGTTTGTCGTAAGAGGGCCGGCCCTAGTCTAATTCAGGCCGTGTGCCGTCCAGCGGTTATGGTTTGTTGTAGAGGGCAGGCACTGGCCCGATTCAGACTCTGTATCGTCTTGCCGTTATGGTTTGGCGTGAGAGGGCCGGTGTCACATGAAAATCCGACTCCTATGAAAATCGGACCCCTATTTCCCTATTATCGGTTGATCCCTCGCACGTGACAGGTCACTCTCCCGAAACGATCCTAAAAATAGCAAGGCATCGTACTCACACGTGCGCAGTACTACCAGTGAGTCCACATTTTCATGGAGTCGGATATTCACGCTACACTGGCACTGGCCCGATTAAGGCCGCGTGCCGTCTAGCCGTTATATTTGTTGTAGAGGGCAGGCACTGGCCCGATTCAGACTCTGTATCGTCTTGCCCTTATGGTTTGTCGTAAGAGGGCTGGCAACGGCCCGATTCAGGTTCTGTACCTTCTTGCCGTCAGAATTGTATTAAGAGGGCCGGCACTGGCCGGATTCAGGCTCTGTACCGTCTTGCCGTTTTGATTTGTAGTAAGAGGGCCGGCACTTGGCGGATTGAGGTTCTGTACCGTCTTGCCCTAGATGCTTTGTCGTATAAAGAGGGCCGTCATACTGTCTTGCCGTTTTGGTTTGTAGTAAGAGGGCGGGCACTGGTCGGATGTAGCTGTAGCTCTGGAAGTACATGGCCTGAGGCGCCCGCCCGACGTCACGTTGGCAGCCATGTTATTGCATGGCCTTATGGGATACTTACCCAAGTAACCGGCTCGGCGAGTCGGTTACTTGCGCCAGGCTCCAGTAAGGTCGAGAAGTCAAGTGAGAGGTAAATCGAACGCTGTCGCGCTTGCACGAGTAAGCGCGGGGGAAGTAATTGAACGCACTCTTAGTAAAATGTATAGAACCTACAATGTACTTGCCCCACATAGCAATATACTCGGTACCTAGGATGAGTTGTTACAAAATATTTTCATTAATTAATTAACAGATAATTAATAAAAGAGTCTTCAACAGATGTAACCCTTTTGTTTTATAGTAGACATACTGAGCTTCCACCAGGTCGAAAACCAAATGCTATAAATAGAAAGTGAAAATACTGCTTTTAATTCGTCTTACGAAAATGTAGTCTAATATCAAATATCAAGCCTGATGTAGATGCAAGGGCTCGGTATGCAGCATCCACCAAATACGGAGCAACGCAATCATGGAAAGTGTTATTCACTGTTAACAAACCATGCCTTCCACCTGTTTGAGTTAAACTCAACTCAATTCTTACCCGTTTATTTTTGTAACAATTTGTAGGGCACAAACTGCAATATTAGAAAACACTCAATCAGCTATCTCCAGTTTAGGGAAAATCCTACATTTTTCAAGATAAAAACTCCGTCAATGATTTTTGCACATTTAAGAATATTTTTTATGTGTGAGAATTTGATTATTACACTGATTACATGTAAATTTACAAGATTGAAAAGACGATGTTATACAATTATTGTGGCTACGTTAGATGAAATAATTAGTATATACTTTGTAAAATAAAATCAGTATGCAGTGTTTGTCACAGTTGAAGAAAAACTTCTTTTACATTTAATTTTGCATTAGATTATAGATTTAAGCTACGAATTAAAAAAAAAGTTTCCAATAAAGGAATATTTTGTTAAATTGAAGTAAACACGTGCTTGGTATATATCACTTTATACTTCCCATATCTAGTTTTGAAAAAAAAAAATCAATGATTGATCCAGGTTCTTGTCATCAAATGAAGAAGACAAATGCAGAAATAGTTGGTTTTATGGAGTACCGAAGTGAATACGTACTCGCACACAAAGTGTGTGCGAAAGACATAATAAGCGCGTGATAAGTATTTTCGTGATTAGTATTTTCGAGAAGGCGTGGACGAATGATCGCGAAAACAAGTACTGCACGTTGTGAATAATAACACCAAGTACACGATAAAAATCCATTACTGGCCAATTGCGGTATCGAATCAGGATACAGGAAGAAAGTTTCCTATCCAGTGTTTACTATTGGAAACGAGGTTGGAAATAAAGTAAGCACTGGGGACGAGGTTGCTCCAACACAGACCCAAACACGCGCGCGTACTCCATATCCGTTGCACTACACTTTCTGGCTCTAAATGACGTCACACTTTGGTACTCCATAGCCTTGAAACAACTTTTTAATATGAATAAAATGAAAATAAATTTTATATTAGGAGTAAAACTCCTTGTTTTAGAAGATGAAAAATACTGAATCCATGAAAGATTGTTGCACAAGTTTTAAGTATAGTTTTAATATGTGAGTTTTAATTGTTACACTGATTAGAAGTAAACTCAAAAGATACATTCAATATGTCGATAATTTGCATTCGACAAAATAAATCATCAGACTTGAGTTCAGTGACTCAAACGATACTTGCTGTTAATCCAACAGCACACGGCTAACTTGTGAAAATAAAGTATGGTGTTCGTTGCCTCAGCCAATTGTGGTGTATAGGATTATGCTAATACGAATCAATAAATGCTTAGTTTATACTGGTCTGGCATATTTGTATTTTGGCCATTTTCAGCTGTCCAATTTCTGCCTTATGAACAGTCCGGTCAATTCACGGTTTGAGCTCGAACAAATTGCAGTAAAAATCATTCAAGCGTCAAACAACTTCAAATAAATACACAAACAACGGCTGAAAAATCTATCATTTTTATGAGGTGGGAAGGTGTTTTTGAAGCACATTGTCCTCGAACAATTCGTCTGGTGACTTGCTTCGATTTACATGCCTGTAGTATAAGCTATACTGTTTAGAATTCAAGACCACATGCGAGTGCAGCAGACGACAGTGCGTCAGGAACCTTAAATAAATGTGTTTTTTAACGTGTGATAGATTTTCTTTTTGCTTTTTACATAAACTTTTGAGTACGTTTTATATTATTAAAACATTGCAAGTGTGTTACTTGGATCACAATTCTTTATTTAACGGAGATCAGTGTCAGTTTCAAGTCATAGTTTCAATACATAGGCTAAGCTTTCGCGTCTGCGAGAGCTAGTATGTTTTTCTTAATTTTGCGCTATATTTCTAGCGCACGACCTCGTATATGCGAATATAGATAGTGTAATGCGACCGGGCTAATATGTGGATTGGATCTTTTAACACCTTGGTTAATCACGACGTCATTAAATTATTATATGAAGTTACTTTGCACCATTACTTGTGAATGTACGAAAAAACAAATGGTGGGGATTCAGCGTCGTTTGTCATCCGAAGACCTGTCGTGTTGCTTGAATTCTGCAGCGGATGAATTAGTCCTCGAAGATTTTCGACCCGAGCAGCGGAAGGCCTAAGAATACTTTCTTCATGGTCTTAGAATGCACCAACTCGACGTTTCATCAGCTTATGCCACTTTACCGTCAGTTGCCATGTTTACCAATCGTGACATTTGGGAGTGAAATTGGCGCGAATTGCTTGATCATTAAATTGCTTGAACTGCTTTAACCTTTACTCCACATGCATTAAGGCTCGACTATTACAGGGTGTCCCAATAAACATTGTGCGTGAAACAAAAATCGCTGATTTTCTCAAAAGTTAGTCAGATTAGCTAATCAAATTTCATATTATTTTAAAGCCTATGGTCTTGTTTATAATTGGTGAAAATATCAAGAAAATCTACCATTGCAAACCAGAGATATCGTTGATTTGAAAGGCTGAAATTATTTTCCTGCTGCGCAAGTAGAATCTGACAATCAAACATGTTAACAAAGAACGTCAAAAGGTTCTACGGGGCAAGCGAGGCGCATGGCTCCCCCCAGGAAAAAAAAGGAGACAAAAAAGAAAAAGGGAAGAAAAAGAAAATGAGATGCAAAGTAATTTACATTAACAACGTGGGCGTCCGCGGCAAATGTCCCCTCCCGGCCCAACCTCGACAAAATGATAAATTGAGAATAGTTATGCTAGAGAAAGTACAAGGATTTTGGGATATAATGTGCTTTGCCGCCCCCCCCCCCTAGAAAAATCCTGGCGACGTCCATGGCTAGAATGTCATCAGGGACTGAAAGTATGTACAAATCCTCCGTATGGATTTCCTCCATAAACTATACACGTATGACTACACTCAGCAGAATCCTATGCCCTCATTGGCTAAAACACGCCCCAAAAGTCTTCATAAAGCGGGCACCAATGACAGGCTATCATTATCGAGCTGGACTCTCTAGCCAAAAGGCTCTCAATTCTCAGATAAACATGTTAGGCTCAAACTTATGTTACTTACTTAATATTAACAGATATTCTAAGAAGATGTTTTCTACAATGCGCCCTCTATTGAGATGTACATATTCCTGAGTAAACCAGATGTAATGTGCGACCAATATGAGAGAAGCACGTCTTGCTCCTGTAAAATTACATGTATTTACAATAATTTTCAGATATCAAAAATTAGCAATCAACACAAGATGTACTTGGAGCTTCATTGAAGTTGACCCTGTGCGTCTGCTTCAAAACATCGATAATACCTCAGAATGAGAAGAGGAAACATCGGAAGGAATTGCATGGAGCCTATGAAAACAAACGCTGTGGTGTAACTGCCTGTGGTGTCGAACAGCCAACCTGCAATGTGCACAAAAGAGACAGGTGAGATGACAACAGATATTGAAATATACTTCGATAAACAAAATAATCACCATCTATATACCTACTTTATTATGGTTGCAGAGCAGTGAATAATGTCCTGGTCCGGACCTGGAACTTCGATTTCTGTGGAAATTTGGATAAAAGTGGACCGGAAAGTTCCTGTATTTTGTTATAGAGTGGATGGATCATTTTCATAATGGCAATGGACTCCAGGAATGCCTTCTAGGGATTGTCATCTTGAAAATCAGAGAACTGCTGGTTGTGTGCAAACGCCCCCAAAATGACCAAAAATGTCGAGACGGTTCTCAGGGTTTAAATACCAGTCGTGAGATCAAGAGCAAAATAGCAAGTTCATGCGCGCATGCGCATAAATGGGCGGGAAGGCAAAAAGCGAAATCGGCCAATCGGAGTCGACTTTACTAAACCGTGACGTCATTTTATTCCAAAACAGGACTTAAACTGTGATTTGCCAATTAGAATTCAGTGTTTTGTAATACAACAACAGCCGGACGCGTATCACATAATACAGAGCGCGTGACCCCAGCCTTTGTTGCATGCTGAGTTATATATACATATTTTTTGTATCCATGTCTATGACGCGACAGCGGTGAATGACCGAAGACCCGATATACAAAGCGTCCGCTGATTGGTCAAAATTTGGAGGTGAAGATACGGTTGTCTTGCTTAATGAATCAGTGAATCTGCTCAAATGTTATAGAATATGGCTTTCGCCATGGTCTGTAAAGCAGATAAAACACCCGCTAGACACAGCAACAAAGGCCGTGGTCACACACTCTGTATTATGTTACGAGACGCGCGCGGCTGTTGTTGTATTACAAGACACTGCATTCAATTGACCAATCACAGTTTTAGTCCTGATTTGGGCATGAAATGACGTAACGATTTTAGTAGAGTCGACTCCGATTGCCTAGCGCGCGGTTTGCATATATCTTCATGTTTAGTTATCAGACGTTATAACGGAGACTTGGCGTCGTGGATAGCGGGTGATACTCAGAGTGCGGGGTACCATCCAGCAAAATTTGGGCCGAATCTCGGTGCTGAATCGCGCCTGGCTGGCTTCGCTTTAGCAATTGAAATACGAACGGGCTACGCCGGTGTCATATGAAAATCGGACTATTTTCCCCTTGTATTGGTTAAACCCTCTCACGTGACCGGTCCCTCTCCTAATTATCTATGCATGAGCATGCGCAATACCACCAATGAGTCCGTATTTCATGCAACCTAAATTCATGCTACACCGGCACACAAAGATTTCACCGTGCAACGGACGGTCAAATTGACCGGAGATTGTGCATAGACAAATGGGACAAATCATGGAGAAATTTAGAGAAAATGACAAAACCTTTTGAGCAATAGGCGCTTGTAATCAGTGGTGCGTGCGCGTGTATGATCGATAAAATGAAATGAAAAATGAAATGAAAAACCCATGGGCGTCGAGAGGGGGCGAGCAAGGGGGAGGGGGCGCTTGCCAAAAAAGCCCCCCCCCCCCCAAAAAAAAGGAGCCAAAAAAAAAAAAAAAACAATAAGGAAAAAGAGGTGTGAAGTCATATTTTCTGTTAATTTAATGCCGACTTAACAAAATTGGAGTCTTCAGTGGTGTCAATGGGGGTGGGGTGGGCAATTGTCCCCCGCCCACCCTCGAAAAAAAATGATAAATAATTGAGAAAATGCTAGCGAAAGTACAAGTATTTTTTTGGGGAAAATGTGCTTTGCCCCCCCCCCCCCCTAGAAAAAAATCCTTTGACGCCCATGAATACAGCCTTTTCTTCTCGTTCATAGCTCTGGAGGAGTTTTCTTTTGGAACTTAAGTCCGAGAGTCATCCCGTTAAGCCCAAGTCACACATTCACGGTTAGAGCTACGAATATCCACGGTTTACCCGTTTTCTAAGACCCTAGTCACACTAGAGGCGGAATGAGCCGGAATGCCGTCGGACTGAAAATTCTTTGTATATTCCTGGATTTTCGAAGTGCATTCTAAAACTTCTGACTGCATTCCAAATATTCGGGCCCACTCTTGTAGCCGGCCCGAATGTTTTGCTCATGCTCAAAACTTTCGAGGCGCATTCGAAGTGGAGAAATATCGAACGGCATTCGAAGTGTATTGTAACTGCACTCCGACTGCATTCTAAATATTCTTACGGCATTCCAACAGCATTCGAAACATTCTGATCGCATTCGAGGGAGAATCGAAAGGCCAAGCCTGCCAAATCCTGCCAGAATGTCCCGAATGCGCCTCAAATGAGCCGGAATGCACCTCGAATGCATCTCGATTGCTGCCGGAATCTATTTCGATATTAAAAGAATTCAGCTGGAATGCACTTCGAATGCCGTCAGAATCTTTCGATTGCCGCTCGAATGCGGCTCGAATGCAGTCGGAACGTCCCGATTGGCCCTCGAATGAGTCCGGACGTAATTCAGAACAACGCCGAATCGCCTAAAAACGCGGCCAGCTGCCGCTGGAACGTCAGTCTGTGATGGTTGGGCTGAGACTGATGAAAATGCTAGATTCGGCAGCATTTTATACCCTATCGGGAACCATTCGAAGTACACTCTAAATATTCGAGCTGCATTCTGTTTGAATTCTTGGACGTTCCAACCATATTCAGTGGCCATTCCGGGAGCGTTCTGACTGCATTCGAGGTGAATTCGTACAGCATTCGAGGCATGCACCTTCCAACCAGACCTCGAGCGGTATTCGGGCAGCAATCGAAGTGCATTCTAAATATTCTGACTGCATTATAACAGCATTCTAAATATTCCTACTGTGTTCCAACTACATTCGAGCTGCATTCGAGAGCTAATACACCCGGAATGTGCAAGAATCATTAGAGGCGGGTTTGAAGCGCATTCTAAGTATTCGAACGGCATTCTTACAAAGCTTGGTCAATGTGAAATTTCCTCCCAAATGTGGCAAGAATTTTGAAAATTCTTCATTCCGGCTGGTTCTGCTTGATTCATGCTGCTTTCAAATAAGTGTGACGGGGGTCTTAGAATGCACTACGGTTTCAGGACGGATAGCCACGACTGCCCTAAGGTTTCTGTACGAATACACCACGGTTTGTCAAGAATATGAACGGATTGTTGAAGAATATCGACGGTATTACTACAAATAATGACGTTAACGCCACGGTTGTCTGCGATTGGGCCACGGATGACAAAGGTTCTCATACGGCATATTCGTAGTACAACCTTAGAGAACCCTAGCACATCCGGGCATCTCCGTCGACCATTCGCAGCGAATTCGTAGAGATTTCTACCACGAATGAGCTACGAATCTCCAAGAATATGCACAAATATCCACGAAGAACACTACGAATAAATACGGTTGTCCTACTGATGTCTCACGGTTGTACTACGGATTAATTTTCATGACGGTTCACCACGGAAGTTATGAACAGTTTAAAACTTCCGTAGCCCCTCCATGAATGCCCAAGGAAGATGACGGATAACCACGGATGCACTGAGGATGAATACGGTACTCCCACGGTTAAACACGAATTTCAAACCATAGTGACCGTTTTAGCCGATTTTCGGCTAAGTTTGACAGATTTTTTTGTTAAAAAACGAGTTTGACCGAAAATTTGACAGAATGGATTTTTTGGGGCAGATTTCTGGCAGAATTCTGCAAAAATGGTTATTTTACAGAAAAACATAGCAAATTTGAAAAGAAGGTAGATCTGTTTAAAAAAGCTCTTTTCAAGCAAACCCTTGCATAATGGGACAGGTTGCCTTGTCTATGTGCTGAGGTTCACTGGGAATTGGATTTCGTCGAGACGCAATCTCGTTTTGACTGAAATTTGCGCAATTTCATAACACCTTTACATGACTATATATTGCTTATAATTTTATTTGAACCTTAATTAAGGCAATATACAACATCTGCATGCGATTTTAAGTGTTTATAGTGTATTTCGTGTAATTCATTCAGGGGAATTTGGCAGATTTTTGATAAATCTAACGCATTTAGCAGAATTTGGCCACGAGCTTACGGTCACCCTGTTTCAAACCGTTGACTTTACTTGGTGGCATGACAAAATATTTGCGAACCGTACCGGTAATTGCGTGGGCCACGGATTATGATTAGCGTAGTGTGCGTGCAAACCTTTACGCGCATGCGGTGTGTCATGGCCCTACTACGTTTCGGGGGATCTCAAAAGTGGTCATAAAGCGCCATCTACTTTTCTTGTGAGGTTTCCACATCTTATTTTCTCTCTGTCACCACTGAGGTGGAGCACACCCAAAACGTGTGGAGAGGGCCGACCGAAAAAAGGCTGAGATGAACTTGAAAGAAGGAATTTGTGAAGGAATTCATTAAAAAGGGAGGGTGTTGGGAGAGAGATAGAAGACAGGACAGAACAAAACATAGATGCTAAGGGGATTTTGTAACATGTCAAGATGAAGAGCACATTTTACGAAAATGCGAGAAAATGCAATGGCGAATACACACTGAAATAAGAACGGCATAGCTTACCGGGTAAATAGCCCAGAGAGAATACCAAGATGGCACCCGTAAAAGATGTCCAACCAAAAGTTCCGACCAGCAAATCCACACCGAGTACCTGCTTACTGAGAACGTCCTGAAGACAGCTGAGGGCGCCAGAGCTTGTCAGGATAAGGAGTGATGACGTCATCATTGGCCAATATGACGTCAGCCAGGGAGTTGCACAGTATGACGCCGAACAAATCGCGACAGCGATGGCCGTCAGATGGAAACTTGATATCACCCCTCGGTCGAGAAAGAATCCCTGAACCAGTTTTGCAATTAAACCTCCAACGCCGCCAACTGTTACAAATGTTGCCGCATCTTGTAAGGAAAAGCCATTTGACTGAGCTTGTGAAACGAAGTAAATGACCCACATTTCAAAGGCATACTTTGTGCAGCAGGATATGATGGCCACCGACCAGTAGCGGAAATCAGAGAGAAGTCGAATATCGAAGATCTGCAATAGGTTCTTGTAAAATGCGGTACAGCGAGAGGGAAGTTGACTTGGATGTTCTGATATCCCATCGTCTGCTGGAAGCTTCTGGTATCTGCTTGCTGAAGGTGCTCCTGCTCGCAGCATGAGGGCGCCACACACCAAAAGATGCATAGAGATGGCACCCACCAGAAGCATGGCTCCTCTCCATCCATACGTATCGATGAATACCTGGACGATGGGTGCACACATCAACAGTCCGATGGAATCACCTGTACGTGCAATGCCAGTGGCCGTGGCGTAGTTCGTAGTGAAGCAGCGGGCGATGGCCTCTTTTATAAGCACACCGGAAATCCCAAATCCTATACCTGATATGCGGAGAAAACAAAAGTTTGGAGAAAAATCACAGACAAAGAGTACTACTGCGCCATTTTCGCATATGCACCCTCGTTTCTTCGATATAACCATTTGCATTTACAGGAGCACAGTGAACTGTTATAATTATTGTCGAGCTCTGACTGGAATGATTTATTTACGGAATAGAGTTAACACCAGTGCACAGAGACAGGAGGAGTCACTGATCTCTATAAGACTGGATAGCGTACAGAAAGCCACTGAAGAAAGCCCTTTGAAGCCATAATGGAGAGCCCATAATGGAGATTCACTTTTGTAGCATCGTTCACCCGATTTACATTTTGACCACCACGGTTCGACCATCGTGGTCTACTTTTGAATGCCGAGGCGTTAGGAAACAATAATCACTATACAGATATGTGTCATTTTTAGTTGAGTATTGTGCGTCTGCGTGACCAAACTGCGCTTCAACTCTTGATACAGCGTGCGCTGTATACGCGGCCATCTTTGAGAGACCGGGGGCGAATTGGTCAATACGCACATTCTACTGTGTGACTGGTGCATGGGAATCCGCTATCCAGTCTTTATATAGATATCAGTTGGAGGAGTGAAGGGTATACACTGTTATACATATATAGTGTTTTAATTTTATACACATTTATGAACGGTTTTTATTTTTTTTGCAACACAGTTTATAACCAGACGCCATTGATCTGGGTAAGTTGGTCTAGAATCAGTTTCATCATGCAGATAAATCCATGTACGAAAAAAACCCCAAAGCCTCAAACAGCCGGTTTTAGCAGTGCAGCTGATTGAAACTGAAATCGACTCTGAGAAAAAAAAATCCACTATGCAACGTTCCGTGAACGGCGTTGTTTTGGAAAGAAACGTTTACTTACATAGCGAAACAAGACGTTTATTGCGCCTAGAAACAGTTACCCGTTGGCGAGGCGTATTACAGGAAATATCATTAGCTTACCCAGGGGTAGAATGAATGCACAAGTTAGGTGAACAGGCGAGGTGGCAAACGACGCCGTGATGACCGAAACACCAATCATTGCACCACACGTCATGATGACGTAGCCGGGACCGAGCCATCTACCCATCAGCCTCGAGGTGATTGCTGCAGAGGATGAAGATTGGTTTGGGAAGAGTTGGTCTTGGTATGAGTGGGTCGGAGCTGTGATTAAAGAGTTGTGATTTTAAAAGTTAAGATTTTTCGGATATACATGTATTCTGTTTCCTTCACCCGTACATTTTACGGATGTAATGTTGGAAAACAATTTGTTTGCATCTGACACCGTGCAGCCCAGATGTTTTGCCTTGCCTGTACTTGTTTTCACTTTCAGCGGTGTAGCTAGGGGCGGGGGGGGGGGGGGGGAGTCGCCCCTTCCACTGGCAATTTGGCAACCCCAGAACAGCACAGTCCTAAACTTTGCCATCAATAGCGGGTTTAAAATGAAGTGACATTTTCACTTGTTTTTGTTTATTTTTTTTCACGAAAACCCTTTTTTCGCAATTGGGTTTTTATGTGAACGTCACGTGAAAAGCTTATAGCGCCACCTACTGTCTGACATTGACCATGATGTCGGTTTTGAACAGCGCACCCATGGAAATACGGTGTCTAGCCCCCTCCCCCACCCCAAACCCCACTTTTGGATTTTACGGAAACCGGGTGTCCGGACACCCCCCCCCCTGTCTATCTTTCAGCACGGGTGAAATTGGGCTCCCCCTCCCCCCTCACTGTTACATCCAGTTCCCCCCTACGCCACTCGCCCCCTAGGATATGATGAGAACCCTGGCTATGCCGCTGCCCACCGTTGATCCTAAATAACTATGATGGAATTAAACCAACATTTTAGATCATGTCAACAAGACATGATACAATTTATGGAGTTTCATTAACTTTGTGCAAGAGGGTGAGATTCAAACGCCCACGAAAAACACCGTACTTTCAGAATGTCAGTACAGCGCTGGAGACGGTGGCGGCAGGCGCGTGCTCCCGCCGAAAGCTTTTGAGGGAATGCAGGATCACCCCTGATGTCATTGCACACCTGCTCGATTGTGTGTTGCGCCAAACGATCGAGGAGAAGTGCAATGACATCAGGGGTGATCCTGCATTCCTTCAGAAGCTTTCGGCAGCATCACGCGCCTTCCCACCGTCTCCAGCGCTGTATCGACATTGGAGAACGCCAAGTCGAAACTTGAACCTATTAACAGACAAGCCTGTACACGAACGAAAAACTTTCTGATATATTGGACTCGTGCTTCGGTTGTAATATACGAATGAACGTCAGAGGTTTTATAATGTAAACAAGGAGTTGAAACAATGAGTAATGAGTTATTTATAAATAGCAGGTCATTGAATAATGTAAGAGACTCAGATTTGCAATGAAGGAACGATCGAATGATCACGATAACCAGCATGAGATATTATTCAGACCGCTCGTTTCTGTAATATGAGCAGCTTTTCTTTGCATATTTTGGATGGTGAACCGCCCCAAATCGAAATTGAATAATCTGGGTACGGCAAAACAAAAAAACTACATAAAGTATTAGATTCTACTTCTGGAAGTTTATATTTTTAACGATTCATTATGCTAACCTTTTTTGGGGTTGGTATTTTGTCGCTATATCGTCAATGGTGATATTCTCGTCGATAAGTGTGCCCAAGAATTTTGTCCTTTAAAGAGGTTGTGGAGTGCTCGAAGACATTTCCGTCATTTTTCAGGTATATGTATGCTAAGGTGTGATGAAATAAAAACGACTTTTGTGTCTGTCATGAAATGAGAACAAAAGGTACTTTTGAGAGCTGTTTTTCAGGTCCTGTTTCGACCCGAACGTGCAATTTGTGTAAAAGTTGTCGTTGGGGGCAGCAAACAAAACATAGTAAATCGTGACGTAATAAACAGGACTCGTTTATAGTACTACGCTGCATCGGGAGTCATACTCATTTCATGACAGACACAATAGTCGTTTTTATTTCATCACACCTTAGGCTACATATACCCGAAAAATGACGGAAATGTCTTCGAGCATTCCACAACCTCTTTAAACGCGACCTAGACTTGAGTCATTTAAAATTAAAGGAACAGGTTGAGTGTATTTATACTAATTGGCACAGAAAATCACGTTGTTCGATTTCAATAAGTTAATACACAGTTTGTTAGCTACAAGCCATGCACTAATAATTGTTTTAAGTTCAGCATTAAGTTTTACCAGTATCAACATTATAAACTGTCATTGGCAAATACACAAAATAAAATAATGTCAGAGGGGTTACTGATATCATCTATTATATAAAAGGTAAAAAGTATTGGGCCTAATACAGAACCATGGGGTACTCCACAAGTAATATCTCGAACAGTAGAGTTCACAGAATTATATGACACGTGTACTGCTTAATATTATTCAGATAACTTTTAAATAATTCTAGTGCTGTACCACGCACGTACCGTAATGTCACTAATCGGTACGGTATGTCACGATTGACCGCGTCAAAAGCTTTGGACAAGCGTTTGAAAAGAAACATGAGACACTGGAATGAAGACAAGCGCTCTAAAGGTTTCGATTTTTGAGGACCAAACATTTCTTACCTCGAAATTCGTTCGCACTAAAAATTCGTTCGCACTATACAAAACCCCCATTTAAGTTCTTAAGGTTAAATGAGTGAAGGAACATGCCACTTTATGAACGATCTTTTCAATCTGTGATTGTTTTGTGAGCACAAGAATGCATTCCGGACGATTCTGTGGCTTTAATTTTACCAAATAATCCGCTGGCAGTGCCTATGGTGGACGTTATCCAGCCCAAGATCCACGCGGTGGTATTAAACTGGTCTTGTAACAAGGGAAGCATCATGCCGATGGTTTTAAAGATTGCAGACCAGATGAAAAGCCTGGTCCACATAGCCAGCAAAGCAAACCATCTAGCACGGCCATCAGATCCACCTGCTGAGCTAGCCATGACTCTCTGCCTCTGCCGAATATAATACCATGATAAAGAAATCTATTAGCAAAGGCGGTACAGGATTTTTTTAAAGCTCTGCCGTGAGCTTCTACACATGTCACTTGGTGGTTGGTCGGTCTGTCTGTCTGTTCCCAAAATTGACCAAATGTATGGTGTTCCTTATGCGTCATCCGCGTTGCATTTTTCGGCGGCGCGTTTTTAAGCTCTGGCATGGCACGGATCACTTTGATCGATTTCATGCAAGACAATTTATGCAAGACTTCTTGCGACACGGTCAGAGCTTTTTAGTCCCGTCAATTTAAGTTTTGACCTACAACAATTTTTTTCATTTTCTTTTTTCTTCCCGGCCAGAAGAGTAAACTTTGAAGATTTGTTCTTTTTTATTTCAATGTAAACAACTGTGAAACAATTTAAGAAATTGCAACATTAAAAACAAAATTCTGAACTTTTTCCCCCTTATACTAGGGACAAACGTTGATGAAAAAAAACCCAACCAACCAAACAAATTGAGGAACAACTTTAAATGCTGCAACGTTTTTGTTTTTTATTTCTCTGAACCTTTTTTTTCTTTTCACGAGGAGTAAACTTTGCAGATTTGTTCCTTTTCTCTTTATTTTGTCGCAGTAACTGGGGAACAATCGTTTCAACGGTTTCAGTTTTATTTCTCTGAAATACTTTTTCTTTCCTTAGGAACAAACTTGGAAGGTTTGTTCTTGTTCTCACGGTTCTGTTTCGCTTTAAAAAAAAAACAGGAGAACACGTCATATAACAATTTCTTTTTTAAATTCTCTGATTTCGTATTCCCTTTCCCAAGAGCAAACTCTGAAGGTCATTCCGTTTTTTGTTAACTGTTTGCTTAGTAAAAAGAAATGGGAAAAACTAAAGAGGGTGCAACTATATTCAAACCGGTAACCTTACCTCAGACTGGGGAGGAGGGGGTTTTCTAAGTAGAACAGTGACTAGAACTCGTAATGCATGTAAGCAACAAAACGTCCAGAGTCTTGTCTAAATTTACCTTTTGCTTGTGATTGTTTTGTTGTTACAATATCACTTTAAAAAAAAATAAAACTCAATGATTTGTTTAGTCATTTTATTTCGTCTGTTAAATTACTTTACTCGAAAGGTCCTGAGTGTAGCAAGCGTTTCAGTGCTCGATTTGCATGATTTAATACAATCATATTTATCTTTATTTCTGCTTTTTAGGTTGTACCAATTTCTAACAATTTAATGTTGTGCCATGATGTCTTTAATTTCTCCATCAATTCTGCATTTCGGATTTATCCCCCCCCCCCCATGTAGCCGATAAGTACGATGGACCGAAGCCCATGTAGGCCTAAACTTGTTTTCAAGTGTATGCCAATGCAAGGATTAATCCCCACGATTGAACTACTGAGCTGCAATACGGGCAAAGTTTATACAAAACACTGTAATCAATAGGTGGATAATAATTTTAAGGTAGTAAAAGAAAATCCAAATTCTTACATCAAAAAATCACAATAGGCCTACCCTATAGTTTTGCGCGGCAACTTCGCGGTAAGGTAAAATTCTATACACGCTAGCCCCATAAATGTGGCCAATATACTGGACTACCTCCGTAAATAAAGGCCACACTTGGAACATGTACAAAACATGTAGAACTTTGTCAAATTTTGATATTCACATTATATTTTCACATTAGATTGTAGGCTTAGTTTGTGTTTGTTTTGCTTTAGAAGCATACTCACCTTTTTACAGGCTAATCAGAAAGTACATGTACTGCCTTTTTCAGATGTTTATTTTTCGTGAAATTTCCAGATTTGTTTGCACACGTTTGTGTATCAAAATTTCAACATGAAATTTCACGAAAAAATATACATCTGAAAAAGGCAGCACTTTCTGATTAGCCTATAAAGAGGGTAAGTATGCTTCTAAAGCAAAAATAAACTACAAACTAAGCCTAAATGTGAAAATCAGAATTTGACAAAGTTCTACATGTTTTTGTACATGTTCCAGGTGAGGCCTTTATTTACGGAGGTAGTCCAGTAAATTGGCCACATTTATGGGGCTATATACATGCGTGCGGAAAAACTGTTGTGACCCTGAGCATAAATCATGCCACCGTAGAAACGTCATTTTTAATACGCGTTACGAAAAATCAGTCAAGAAAGGGCGAGTAAAAACCACCTTACCCTGCACTCCCTGGATAAATTAGAAGTTTTAGTATGTTAACCAGTGATTTTTCCTTCCCGTGAGGAAAAGAATATTGCATCCTGACGCTACGTTTGAAACAGAAATAAGATTTTTCTTTTGGCTTACATTGTACCTCAGAGAGTATACTTTCATGTGAGAACTGTAAGGAATATGTTGCCAAAGTCTTTAAGAGAGATTTGTAGGCGAATGTGTGGCCAACTTTAGTGATTTTTACATGTCACTGCATGTTGAAGCCCTCATCTGCCGCGTGACATGTACACATTCACTCAATTGGCCACACATTCGCCTACAAATCTCTCTTGTAGACTTTTTCCCGTGAGAGTGTTAAAATACGGGTACATACCTGTATTCCCCAATACCGATGTTCCCCGAAATCCCTACCAATATAACCCTAACCCTAACCCTAATCCTAAGGATTTGGGGAAACATCGGTAGTGGAGAACATCTGTATTGGGGAACGTCGGGTAGATCCCTTAAAATACATTCTATTGCAAATACTTCTAGGTCTGTATCGTCGTCAACTGATCGGACTGTAACTGTGCACTCACAATGGCCGACATCTCCCTGACTTCCTGGCCAAGATCCCAAGACGATGTTTTCAGGAGTTAACCAAACAAGCACCAAGCGGGCTGAGGTACGTACTGGTTGTCCAAGCTCGTGTGCTCTTTTTTTTATTGTACGTACAACGTAATGTAATGGCCGTGCGTTCCCTCATGCATATCCAAACATGTGCAAAGCTTTTTACTATTTAAATCCTCAATTAACGCACGATGTGAATGGGACAAAATACAAACGAGAGGAGCATAATGTTAGACTTTAAAGCAAAATGAGACGTACCCCTACGCATTTTGTGTCATTGTGTTCCCGGCCCGCGAATCCCGGCATGCATTCTTTTGGGGATGTATTTAAGCCTAGGCCTGTGTAGAGTTTAGCGACAAAGGTTAATGACCGAAGACCCGACATAGAAGGCGCCCGTTGATTGGTCTAATTCGGAGTCTTCAGAAAGACGCTAGCATCATTTAGAGTGCGTTCGATTACTTCCCCCAGCTACTCGCGCCTCGCTCCTCGCGTGAGAACAGACATGCGCAGTGGAGCTGCGAACGGTTTCGGGTAAAGTTTCGTGCAAGAGCTGGAAACATGGGCGTCGCCAGGATTTTTCTAGAGTGGGGCATAACATATTTTCCCCAAAAAATCCTGTATTTCTCAACATATTCTCGATTTATCAGTTTTAGAGGGGGGCAGGGACATAAATTTACAACAATATGACTTCTCGGCTCTTTTCGTTTTCTGTTTTTTTTTCCTTCCTTTTTTTTGCTTTTCGGGGGGGGGCAGGATTTTTCTAGAGGGGGCAAAACATATTTTCCCAAAAAATCCTGTATTTTTCAACATATTCTCGTTGTCAAACCTGCCCTCAGATGGAAGCCCTAAATCCAGGGAGGTGATTCTTGGGTATATTTACACAATTCCACCAATTTTAAAGTCAAACGGTCTCCGTTTTCAAAAGAAATTGTGGGGCACATTTTTTGCTAATGAGCTCGCGTATATAGAAATTCTCACTCTGCACAATCCAACGCGAATTAATTGCGGCCTCTGTCGTTCTCATCGCGCCAGTCGGATATCGTTGTTATAATCGCTGTAATAATAATGACGTTATCAGCACTCTTTGTGGGTTGGCCAAACGAGTTTAAATCTTGAATATTTACACTGCGTACTCCACCTGCAAACTCAAGCAATACGTTTGAAACCTTCTATAGCTTTCACATTTTAAATTTGGGCGGACATTTAGGAGTATTCGGGAACAAACTACCCCCCCCCCCCGCCCCTCAAAAAATTGTGTTCTGCCGGCATTGTCCGGTGCATTACTAGCACGTTGTCGTAAAAGTTGGTACCTTGATATGGGCTTAACTTTGAGTCCAGCATGCCTGAAAATTAGATATTGATACCAGGATCATCCAAATCGACCATATAGAAGCATTTCTAGACAAATAGTTCTTAGGGGGTCATTTTGGCGGCCATCTTAAAAAATGGCCGCCATCTTGGATTTTCAAGTGGCCAATCGGGCAGATTGTGAAGTATACCCTAGAGAATCAATGTGCCGAATTTAGTGCTTGTATCACCATTTGCACGATTTTTCTGTTATCTGCTCCACTACTAATGGCACACGAAATCTCACCTTTTTTTTTTTGGTTTGACAGAAACTCTTCTAATGTAATGAATAGCCAGCTAGAAAGAATTCGAGACAATATCATAATAACAATCATCATTTGTTCATGATGCACTTCCAGAAAGTTTCCTACCCAGGGCTTACTATTGGAAACAAGGTTGGAAATAAAGAAAGCACTGGGGACGAGGTTGGTACTGGGCCGTTTCTGGGCTAATACATCTTGCCAAAAATAATCCAATATTAATCCATTACTGTTCCAGAACTCTGCAAGTATACAGAAAGAACAAGACCAGTCATATGGGCCAGTTATGTTTGCCAATGTCGGGCCACTGCTACAATCCCGGCCAAAATGGTTGGGACACTTGGAAATAACCTTAGCCTCCAACGGTCACCAACTCCCCCGCTCCCCCGGTCAATGTTGTTCTCTCCAGCGGATGGAGCACACACCGCGCAATGAGAGACAACATTGAGCGGGGACTGGGGGGTTTGGGGGCCAGCGAGATTTGGCCAGGATTGTAGCTTGCCATTAAGGGCCCTGTACTGGCTTGTACAATGGAACGGTACAGTACGCGATGCCATAATTGAACCTGACGAGAATCAGTACTGGACCGATTCTGTAACAATACACGCCAGAATCAGACCAGGGCTGAGCCAGCATTCACCCAGAACGTACTAGGACAGTTCTGTTTCGACTTTACTGGGACAATGCTAGATTACCAGAAAAGGCCCAATACTGGCTTGCGAAATGGTGCGTACTGTCAGTTATACAAAAAAGAAAATTGCTAATTTAAAAGAACCTATAGTTAACACATAAATTTAATAACACACAACACTTTTATTACTGTACCACCAATTTGTTTTCCATACGCAATCTATTTCTCGTCTGAAGATACAGCTCGAGTATACATGGAGTTGAACCTGAGATAAAAATATGAGTATTTGTGGCTTTCAAATATCATAGCAATTTGCTAGTAATGGATTTATATCGTGTAGTTGGTGGCGTTATTTCCAACGTGTTTTACGTGTTTTCACGATCATTGCAATTATAACGTCAACGCCTTCTCAATAATACTCCTTTTTCCTTCCAGTTTGCCCATATAAATATGAAATGTGATACTGCATATTTGCGGGCCAGATTGTAACATTTTAACTTCAAACTTAAGATTGTGTTTTCATGACTCACGGCGCGACGAAGTGATGTTGTTTTTACCCCAGACACCACATACAAAACCAAACGCTAATGTAACGCACATGCAGGCACCAGACTATTCGTCATTTGCATACCTGTTCAAAAATCTTGCACATGCAAATGATCCAATACCAGGGTAAGAGAGCAGGTAGTGGTGGGTGCGTACTGCTCGACACCCCGGGACGACGTTGGACCAGTACTGATTTTTTTTCTGGTTCAGTTTATGTCCAGTTCAGTTTGTGTACATAATGCCCACCCATACAAACTTTTTGCGACACTTTTTCACAAGACTTTTTTTTTTTACTTAGGCCTACATGAATCTCGACTATGAAACTAGTCGTTGCATGCATATAACAAACTTACCATAAACATACCCAAGAGATTTCATGACTATAGGTTAAAGGGTTTTGGAATTATTGCCCATTAATTATTCACATGCACCAATGGTAATTCTGCTTTGTGTACACTACATTATGGGGAAATTGAGTTTTCACGGCGCGGCGCGCCGATTTTTTTTTCACTGTGCGGTCCAAATGGTCGGATTTTTTTTGTTTTTCAAAAGATGCGCAAGACTCCAGGCAATTTTTTTTTGCCGGGGAATCGCGGAAAAAGTTGAGGGGGCGTGGGGCGATATTTCGTTCTTCCAAGCGACATGGTTGTAAGGTATGGCGTTTTGGACTGTACTTTTCTAAAAACATGACAAGAAAATATAAATTTAGAAAAAAAGAAACGAATTCAAACGTAATGAAATTCGGACTTTATTTCCCTTAAAAAAAATCCTCCGAAGCCTCAGGTAAGAAAAGAAACAAAAAATGGGGAAAAAAAGGTGCTTCGAACCCGCAACCTCACGGTGCACAAGCACGACCGCATCGACTGAGCTATCGCACTGCTCGCCAAAAACGCGGGAAAAAATAATTATATACCTGCGTACAATGTACGTATCATAAAAGTATCGCAGAGGGCGCTAAACAACCATGTATGTGGATGTAGTTTGGGAAAAGAAAATTCGCGGGCGGGGGCAGATTCCGCCCGGCTCTTTTAGGGTTAATTGTAAAGCGCTTTGAGATTGTTGATACGATGGAAAGCACTATATAAGAACAATAATATTTATAATTACCCTGGATTGCCATTGGGAGACATGCCCATAGACTTGTGCACAACATTTTTCAAACTTAAATGTGCCCTAACCCAATATTCCCTTGTCCTTTTTTGCACGAATTTCGGTATGTTTACTAATTAGACCACGAGCAACAAATATAATCTAATTGCGATGGTAAAATTTCGCCTCTAGAGGGGGGCTGTGACATTAGGGAGACATGAAATTGTTTCCCTAATGACCGATGTCTCTCATCATGCGAAGAAATTACGATAACATGTCTCCTTAATGGTACCATTACACGTATTAAAGCTGTGATCTAGGACTATACCGCGCACGGGTTGATGCATAGGAGTAAAGGTCGTGTACACCCGGACCCCCAGATCATAATACTCATTGTTATACCTATACACGCAGCTATCAAAAGAATTCCTGAGATCCAGGGAGCACAACGACCAACACAAAAGGCGGAGATCCGTCGCATATATCTTGTTTCAAATGTCAAATAGTGCCTTTCTCTAGTTATATTTTTATCCCGCTCACTTAATAGTGCTTTAAGAGGAGTTAGTGAGTAAAGGCTTTGTATGGCTTTGATCGATAGGGATGAGTGAACATGCATGGGCATTTCATACCGTGGTATAAAGAATACCTTGTGACACACCGTGACCTGACCTATATAAGATGGGGCCTAAAGCTATCCTAAATGTAAACACCTCTGCCAACCCATGTTAATAAAACCCTGTATCCGACTTTGTTAATATATTTCTATTTCATGGTACATAAAGTGCAATATTAGCCGCGCCATGGCTAGCTCAGCATGTGGATCTGATGGGCGTGCTGGGTGGTTTGCTGTGCTGGCTATGTGGACCAGGCTTTTCATCTGGTCTGCAGTCTTTAAAACCATTGGCATGATGCTTCCCTTGTTACAAGACCAGTTTGATACCACCACGTGGATCTTGGGCTGGATAACGTCCACCATAGGCACCACCACTGGATTATTTGGTAAGTTAACCCTTTAATATAGTAATCTCCCATGTATATCCCATGGGAAATTGTTTCCATATATATTGAGAACTTGAACTGGAGCAGAAAGTTGCATGTAATATGTTCCCATGAAAAAAATCCATGTCATGGGCCCTTTAATAATGATTCCAACCCCCATGCAATGACCAACCTGTTCCAAACCAATCTTCATCTCTGCAGCAATCACCTCGAGGCTGATGGGTAGATGGTTCAGTCCCGGCTACGTCATCATGACGTGTGGTGCAATGATTGGTGTTTCGGTCATCATGGCGTCTTTTGCCACCTCGCCTGTTCACCTAGCTTGCGTGTTCATTCTACTCACGGGTAAGCAAATGACATGCCCTTAATACGCCTCGTGAACGTTGCTGATGAACGTTTTGTTTAACGAAGTAAATAA